GTTATAAGGTGAATAAGTTCTGGGGATCCAGTGTACAGCATGGTGACTCTAGTTAACAACACTGTATTGTATACTCAAAAGTTGCTAAGAGATTAGATCTTACGTGTTCTCACTACACACAAAAATGTGAGGGGATGGAGATGTTAACTCACTATATTGTGGTAATCATTTCACAATAGACATGTATATCAAATCATCACATTGCACACCTTAAATGTACACAATGTTATATGTTAATTATATCTCAATAAAGCTGGAAAAAAAAGAGGAAAAAAATTCCTGTCAAATCCACCTAGGCTGTGACAAAGTTCTTGGTAGGGCACTGGTCAGAATGTGTATTTTTGCCTAGAAGCAAGACTCCTCATGGTAGGTAGGAAACCAGGGAGGATAACGAAGACGTATCTGACCTGTGAGGTGTCTGACTGCAGCAGCCAACACCAAGTCCCGATAATGCAGCCCCTCAAGACCCAGTGATCCCGTATGACATTTGTCCCTTGCCTCCAGAGACATACCTTGGTCCAACCAAAGCCCAATATATCTGATTTTGTTCAACAAAATGTTATTTCATTACCTTCCACGCCTAAGGCATCAGGCTAAATGCTTGGGCTACAATGATGCACAGGACGGAGGTTCTTGACCTCAAGAAGTCATGACCAGGGGTGCAAGATGACCCCGGGCACAGGACAACTGGTGGAGGAGTTGTCAACAAACAGTGGCAGTACAATGAGACGTGTCTTTACAGAAGTATGCATAAAGCACTCTGGGTGTTTTGGGAAGGCTCTGCATGGAGGCTCCAGGAAGGTTTCAGAGAGAAAGTGAGGTGTGAGCCTGTTCTTGAAGAAACAGAAGTTTGTCAGGCAAAGAAGCAGAAAAAAGCCATTCCCAGCAAAGAGAACTGTGAAGGCAGAGAGGCGTGAAAGGGCCTGGCAGAACTGAGACAAGCAAACAGCTTGAGAGTGGAGGCTGCAAACGGCTGCTGACTGGCAGACAGATTTTGGTGGGGCCGCAGATTGGTTTATAAATTTGAGCCACATTTAGAAATGGAGATATTTTATGAAAAAGTCCAGATTTCCTGCTCCTCTTGAAAAAATGGAAAATCTGGCCATCCTGCTGGATATCCACCATGGGCTGAAACTGAGAAGAGGTCTGTGCCCTCCAGTTCATCACAATGTCCACCTCCCACTGCAGGTTCAGACGTACTCATGGGCATTTACACTTCCATCCAGCAGTTGCACTAATTCAGATGACCAGTTTCACTCCTGGAGGCATGTGAATTTTTAGTCTCTGGTTAAGCATTCCCAGAAATTAAAGAGCAAGTGTGGAGTGGGGGAATTGGCAGAGTTAAACTGGCAATTGTGGGAAGACATTACCACCCCAGGGCAGAAGGGACGGGGGAGGAAGTGGTGTCAATGAACTGTGGTGAGAGCTGGAGCTGCGGAGGAATGGCCCAGGAGCTAGTCTCGGGGGTGTAATTATTGTGGAGACAAGCAGGGTGGGAGTGGGGATGAAATACTCAGTCTTCACCTCCAGGCCTCCTTCCACCACAGGGGCCCGAACACCCTGTGTTCTGGTTTGGAGGCTCTTTTACAAAGGGAGGTGGGAGAGTCATGCTGCAGGGAAGGGGCGCGGCTGCTTGCTCCATTCTGGTGGGATCTGGTTTAACTGCCGCCAGCTCCTCACACCACTGTTCTCTGGGATGTCACATTTGGAGACGGAGGAATCCTTCTCTGGAATGTGCAGGACAGCCAGCCCCAGGTAGTAGAGTTGTCCCTTGCCCAGCTCTCGACTCCATCCCCTGATCTCTGGAGAGGGGCTCCCCCACAGGATGTGGAGCCTTCATGGTGGCAGGCTGCCTCTCATCCTTAGGGCATGGGTAAGGCTGCAACGCAGGGCCTGAAGCTTCCACTGGAGGAAATGTCCCTGGAAGGAGGCCTTTTTCCCTTTCTCTTCGGTCTCCCTTTCAGCCTAAACGTCACCATGGTTTTATTCCCAGTTGCAAAATTTGGCTCCTAAAATGCCACTGCCCACATGTGTATGATCTCAAACACCAGCCACATGGTACTCCTTACAGGCCCTGTTTCCAGAGGCGTTTTCTCGCTTCTCTGCCTTAGATGATCCCACTTGAAGGGAAGCGCACACCTCCAAGTTTCCATAGGGGCTAACATCTGCTGGATATTAAGGGATACTTAAGCATGGACCAGGGTGGGATGCCTTGGGTGGGTACTAGGCACTCTCAGCTCCAGGCACCCAACGTCTCCTGTGCCCTCTGCTCCCTGGGGCTTGGTGTATCCCAGAGGGCAGTAGAGATTGAATTAGAGTCATTGGGAGAGATTTTCAAAAAATGCCCAAGGTCTGGCCCCAACGATTCTATCATTCAATTGATCTGGGGTGAGAGATGCTATCCCAGTGGCATAGGCATTGCTAGACCCAGCTTGTGTGACCACAGGCACGTCACTCCCTATTTCTGGAGGTGAAAGGCCATGGCAGAAACCTCAGGGCCTGTGGGAAGTAGCAAGTCCTGCAGAGAGCAAACGTGGAAGAGGGAGTTTCAGGAGTCAGGGAGTGCTGGGGCTAGATTTCCAGTCGGCCACTGGGCAAAGAGCTCTGAACTCGAGTGGAGGCAAGGCTACGTCACACTCAAACACCCCAAAACTGGGCCGGGCAGGAGTCAGGGCACACAGAAACCAGGCAAAACCGGGATCTGAAGTTTGGGCTAACAGCATCCAAAAAGACCAGGCCAAAACAGTCCAGAACACGGATTCAAGTTTGCACCTACAGGTCAATGAGAGGAGGTCTGTGCTTTTCCTGGGATGGGTCCTTCCCCCCAACACCCCAAACAGTCTAGTGCACCTGACTAGGACCAGGGACAGCCATTGGACACCGGTGCCGGCAAGCAGGCAGTGTTGGCAGGAAGAGGGCTTGGAAACTGGGGAGGAGGAGAAGGAACAGGACGAGCACATAATCCTGTGGGCTAGAAATAAGACCTGGGGATGTCCCTGAAGACTGAATAGGGTCATGAGGGGGAACACCAAGTATGGGTAGCAGGTCTCTCTCTCTCTCTCTCCTAAGAGGTGGGTAAAGGTCTATTGAGGGACAGACGCCAGGCCAGAGAATTTTGGACAAGCAGTTGTCTTGGTTTCCATCTTCCTGCAAGTTAGACTGATCCCACGTCCTCTGGGGCCTGGACAACAGGCTCCATATGCTCAAATATTTCTACCAAAAGCTGAACCTTCCTTAGGGACCAAGATCTCATGCCATTCAGCAACTATTTCACTCTCCGCTGCTTCTCCATGAGCTCCTAGTATGTTGTACATGTGAGGTCCACACACGGGTCAGAAGTGCAGCAAGGCTTGTAAGAACGGGTTTGAGAGTTTTAGAACAATTCCTTACAGGAGAAACTGGGCAGTGGGAAATGGGGGTGGATGAGTGGGGTGTGGGTGGGGGTGTGGCAGAAGATGGACAGGCCTGTTTTTTCCTTCAACTAGGCTGAGCAGAGAAGATCCAAACAAATGTAGGTCTTTATTCAAGACTATACTTCCTGATGCTTATTAACTTTGAACACTTAGGGTAAATTGTGTTAAGTTTCACTTCCTCTGCAAGGTCTCTATAAAGCTTTTCCTAAAAAGTGTAGCCCCACACTAATTTGCTCTTTACTGAGTCCTAGAGCACAGTGGTTCTCAAACTTGAGCATGTATCAGAATCACCTGGAAGGTGGAGGGGTATGGGGCACATCTAGAGTTTAATAGGTCTGGGGTAGTGCCTGAAAATTTGCATTCCTAAGAAGTTCCCAGGTGATGTTGATGCTGCTGGTCTGGAGACCACACTTTGAGAATCACAGCTATTAACACATAATCTCTATCATACAATTTCACGGTTTATTTGTATTTTGTCTAGAATTGTTTTCTGCAGTCAGTCTTCCCAGCCAGATCTCAATTCCTTTGGGGCAGGGATTGTGTTTTATATTTTCCTTCACATCAGTTAGCACATTGTCGGAGACACAGTAGATGAAATACTTATACACTGAGAACTTCAGAGAATTTGGTTTCTTCAGGTAGACAGGGATCAACTGTGGTTAATTTTAGGATTCCCACATTTTGAAAAAGAGCATCTAATTTTTCCTCATCATTCACATTTGCAGAGAAAAACTAATTTGCTTCAGCAATATCCCAATCTCATGAAAGAAAAGCTCCAGTCTCAATTTAGGAAAAAAAAAAGAGTTCATTCCTTCATCCTTCCAAACAAGGTACAGTACAATTGAACAACAATGCATGTTACTGGAAAATGCAACTGCATTTTATATTGCTCACTACTCTTTAAATAAGTATAATTCAGATATTAAGAAAAAGAACTGCTAATCACATTAACGCATTACAGAAATCAAAATTAACTTACCACACAAAATAAATTAAAACATTAAATATTAACCTTTTCAGTGCAACATATACAGAAGTCAGAGTAACAAGTTCTAAAAAAAAAAAGCATCGGGTTTGTTATAATAAAGATAACGAAAAGTTGAACACTTCAGTAAGTTATTACACTAGGAAGATGGGTTGTTTTTCAGTACTCTGTGTGTTGTGTGTTTACCATTAGGATCTTTCAGAAAGCCTGGTAAAATCAGTGGCTAGAGAGAACAGGTCTTACGTTAGAACATTAAGAACAAACGTATGTGTTCATCTGTTTCTGTGATAGCCCCCCTGGTCTTGGGCTTTTGAATCATCCTCTCCTCCTTGGCTGAGCAGGCAGGGAGAAATCAGAGCCCAGACCCTACTAAGGGGTCAGGGTCTCCTAAGTAGTGTTGGAGCCTCGTTGATTCATTCCCGCCAAAATTGCCTGGAAAAGCAACCAGTGGCCCATGTGCACTGAGACAACCTGGCCCTGGAAAACCTGGCTGAAGATGCCAGATGCTTTTCTCCACCTGCAGAGAACAGTCTCCCAGGAAGCTCTAGAACCACACCTTCTCCTCCCTCACCTATGTGGGCGGGGGAGTGTCAATCCCACCTCCTTCTCCTTGCTTAAGAAAATAGACTCTGGGGACATTCTGCCCACCCCCTCTGCTGGAACACAATGGCAAGCTCATATCTTGCTTGGTTCTACAGGTGTCCAGATGTGTCTTCCAGATCAGGATTAGCTGCTGTATATCTTTCCATCTAGAAGAAAACGTTTCCTGCCAGTATGCTTAAGGAAGTCACAGCCTGTAGAGCAGTGGGAGAATCCAGGATCCATAAAAGATTTAGAAGCACCTCCTCCCTTTTTTTTAAGTGGGGCTTTTCACTTCTCCTGAGACAGACATCGGAAACAGCTGCATTCCCCACTCCCAGGTGTGTGGCTGCTTAGCAGGCTGGGTCTTGTGAATGATTCCCTCATCATAATGAACACAGCTTTCTAAAAAGCAAGGGAACTTGCAGAGATAGATGAGAAGATGCATTTTTAACTTGAAAGGGGGGCATTTTTACAGCCAACCCAAGAAGTACCAATGCCATGAAACGGCACAAGAATCCAATGCTTGTTGGCCATCTGATTTCTAAAAGAGAAATCACCAAAGAAGCAAGGCTCTCATATCCTGGGACATGGACAAAGGTCCACCCAGGCCTGCTGGGACCCCAGCCTCTGCTTCCAACTCTTTTCAGACCTGCTGATTTAGAGAGGACTGACTTTAGAGGCACTCATAGGGAGGCACACATTTGAGCCTGTTCACTGCATGGTTGTACAGGCACAAGGAAGGGTGCACCGGCAGCTGTGACTTGAAGACCTGAGGACCAGAGCACTCACAGACACTAAATCTGAAGTTCCCAAAGGGAACCAAGAAGGTTCCTTCTGCTTCCATCCTCCTCTTCTCACACGTCTGCAAAGGCTCTTGGATGCCTAAAGACTAGACACCGATCCTTTCATCCACTAGGTGAGAAAAGCCTCACAAAACATTTTCACATCAGTTCATACTCTTTAAAGGCAATTAGATCTCAAACAGTCTCTACAAGACTGAGGAAAGATTGTCCTAATGTAAAAATTTGATCAAGTTAAATACAAGTGAGGCTACTCCACTTTCATTAGTCTCTCTAAACTGGAATCTCAGACTTTCAGGAGAGTCTGAGGAGAAAAGTGAGTATAAACGGAGGTCTACACACCAGTGTCAACTGGATTGGTCTCTGAGCAAGATGCTGCAGTCAAGCCTCAGCCCACATATCTGCTGCTGCAGATGCATGTTAAGGTTAAGTACATTCCAACGAATGCACACTTAAACCTATTTTTTTTTTAATAATTAAAACTTGGGAGCTGTGTCAATTACATCATTAGAGGCCAGCTGGGGCACAGATGCCATTTCTGCTCTTAGCACTTGGGGTGCAGCATCATTCAATAAAGGTGCCAAAGTGAAGACACAGGTCATATAATTGTCTCAATTGTAAGAAATATAGAGAAAATTCATTGAAATAGACAGACTGGGGAAGAAGAGTTAGGGGAGGAGGAAATTACCTGATAGAAATTTCAAGCCAACTTGACATATCTTAAAGGTCCTTTTCACGACATGAGGAGCTAGATGCACTGAAGAATTAACAGGTAGAAATCTTTCATTTTTCAAATATTAATGAGTAAAGAGTTCCCTCACATACGAAGTTTATATATTATTTCATTGTATTCTGTTTCCAAATTTTAATGAAAATTCCTAGGGATGAGTTCCCTGCTGTTCAGCTGGAGGGAACCAGTGCTCCCCACAGGCAGGCCCAATGGGTCAGAATGTACCCAGATGCCCAGGAGAACAATTTCTCCTTCTCTCTGTGGAGAAAGCGAGACCCACAAGGTGGAGATGGCTTGTTAGAGTGTTTGTTAATAAAACCAGCATCCTGACTGGAAAAGAAAAAAAAATCACTGGAGTATTTCTTCTAATTCTTGAAAATAAATAGGAAAGTTAAATTTCTCCTTTTGAAAATAAACAAACCAACCGAGCAACAACATGGAAAATAAATGACTGGTCCCCCTTTCATGGATGTGGCCCCAAATGCCCGTGGCTCTCTGCTAATGCTCTATTTCTAAACATCCTCTTGGAGGGCTCACTACGAAGTTAATACGTTTAATCACGGAGCAGTCTAGTAAGATTGTGCTTATCCTGGGTAGACACCCACAGGCACTCTCATCCTCTGTCCCCCGACAGAGGTGATGAATGTCTGCTGCTGGATTTGCTCACTCTTCTACCAGAATGTATCCAGGGGCTTTTACCTGCTTCGTGTGTTAAATGGCACGCCCTCTGAACCCCAATCATTGCTCCCATCAGCAACTCGTCTTCTGCTTCCATCTCTGCGCCCCCTGGATGGCTTTTCCCAAGCCTTAGCTGTTCCAAACAGGCCAGAGATTTCTCATCCATGTAACTTTTCAGCCAGCAAGACATACATCATTAATGTAGAAGTCTGAAAGGGTTTTATGCTTTTTACATTGACTTAAGAGATTAAAAATAAAACCATTATCCATCTAATAAATAAGAAATTATCTCCGAGGGGGGTGATGGCTTGGGAAGGTCCTCAACATCATGTGTCTGTGGAAGACGTCGGGCTGGCTGAGAGTCTCGTGGACAGAAGACAGACACAGCTCCTCTTATCCTTGGCGTCTTGACGTAACAATAAACAGGTACCTTTCTCCACCTCCTTCCTCAATAAGCAGATGAGAAAAAACTGTAACAACTATAGGACTCTCTGGTGTTGGGCAGGATGCATATTGTTGTGGGGAAGATGGGCCCATTAAAAAGAAACACAGCCCAGCAGTGTTGACTGGCGGAAGACAACTACACACACCTGGGCTCAGATGCCAACTGACGCACACACCTTATCTAGGTAAACAGGTAGTCCACCCCTTTGTAGTTCTTTTTTGACCAGTCTTTAAATCGTGGTCCACTGATTTCTTCTTTAGGTCACACCAAATAACCCCAAGCAGACAGAGTTCTTGACAGAGTTTTGAAGGAAGGCCCACAAAAGACAAAAGGGCTGCACAGGTGACTGCAGGCATAGGAGGAAGTCATGCCGCGTGTCCCGGGCATCCCTCGTTGTGCTGTCCTGAAGTAGTCCTTTCTTCATCAGGCTGCCACAGTCCACCTGGCCTAACTCCTCCTCCGGGCTCTTCAGACCACTAGAAGGAAGGAAAAACAGGTTAAGTCTGCGGGCCAGACCCCAGCCATGCTGGGAAAACAGGCCTGGAACAGAAACTTGGAGATGCCCAAGCCACCAAGTTCTCTTGGGCAGTCAGGCCCAAGTCCCAATTCTGCTGGTTCAACTTCAGGGGCAGCAGCTTCTGAAACTGTGCTTTCAGCACCAAAGCAAAGGCTCACTGAAAGTGAATGAGTTGTGGCAGAACAGAATGGGGGATGCGTCCTGTTGTAAGGGCCTTAATTCAACTGGAGGTGATTCAACCCAGCCTGTGGTCAGTTCTCCCATAAGGGGTGGCTTAGTGGGCAGCTCAGGAGCTGGTCCATGGCTCTGGCGGCAGAATGGCTTCCCCTCAGGCCATCCAAGAATGGACCCATTTGTTTCCCAATGGGTAGGCCCTGAGGGCATCCTCTGTGGCTGTCACCATGAGGCAGCATGGACCCCATACCCAGAGGGCACCCTCTGTGGCTGTCACCGTGAGGCAGCATGGACCCAGCACCCAGAGGGCATCCTCTGTGGCTGTCACCACGAGGCAGCATGGACCCAGTACCCAGCAGTTCCTGAGTGCAGCTTGGCCTGGACATCTTCCAGCCCTGGTCCCTCTGGAGCTGGGGAGGTATGCATCATCTCATGGAGAGGGGCTTCAGCCTCAGTGGCCATCTCTGGAAGGCCAGACCTATCCCAGGCTCAAAACTAACGTCCTCTCAAATGTGGGTAGAGAAGTAACATTAACAAGAAAATTACTCTACCCTAAAAGACTCTGCTGAGGTGTAGACAAATGGTTAAAAATCTGTTATAATTTTTTTAAAAGGTTTAAATAATTTTTCTTTTGGTGCTAAAAGACAAAATAACACTTAACTTCATTAGCTCAACGGATAGTTCCCTGAGGTCATGGAAGAGAGATATGAGTGGGGCCTTCAGAGGCCCTGGTTCTTATCCTAGCTCCCCCAGGGACTCATGGTGGAATCCGAGCAGACCTCTGGCAGTGTTAGTTTACCCACATTGCTCACAAATCGTCTCCGTCTTAAGGCTATTATGAGGATTAATGGATGAGCATCCTCCAAAATCCAAAGAACTGCTCATGCACAATTACTATGGTTCTTGAAATGAAGAACACATAAATGGTGCTCCTGGGCCTTCAGTTCCCTCCAGGTCAGATTACCACGAGGTTTAATGAACACATCAGTGTTCCAGCTTCCCCGTCATCTTTCTTCCTACCCTCTCCATGCAACATTGAGCTTCTGGAATGCCAACTGTTTACTAGAGAAGGACACCTTCAGGTGGATTAGCCTGTGATGATGGTCTCCTGACCCATTACTTCCTGAAAAGGAACTTTAAATTTATGATAGGCTCTATTGGTCAAAATAGCATTCCAGAGAAACCTGCTGATGTGAGACTTCAGACTAGTCTGGATAAAGGAGCTACTTGACTCCATGAGCCCTGAGCCAATGATGCTCAGATGAGGGCTCCTGAGATGCGGGTTTGGCCCCATGTACAGATGTCCAATCTTTTTTGTGGATGTCAATGAAAATATTTATGAAACAAGGGTACACTTAATGAACATCACGGGTTCTAAGAGTTTAGAGACCTTAGAGGCCTTCTATAGGCCAAATCCCTCATTTCACCAATGGGAAAGGGGAAGTGTCTTTCTCAAGGGAAAGAGAATGAACATCTGTTGTGTGTCTACAGTTTGTGATACACTATACTATGTACTTTATATCAGTATTCATTCAATTTGCACATCATCTTTTTACTAAGAAAACTGAAGCTCAGAGAGGTTAAGTAACTTGTCAAAGGTCATAGTCACCATTAATGATCAAAGAGCTCCCTTCTGAGTAAGAAACATGTTAGAATAAACTAAACCCGACTTGGTAGGATAAATACCCTTTTCCTTTTCTCCCTTCTTCCCGCTTCATCATCTAAGAATCTCTGCCCTGACCTGGAGAAGGTGGTTGTTTTCTCCACCCAGTAGTGTCTCCCAAGGGAGAGAAGGCCTCCTCTCAGTGCAGCCCCTTACCTGTTTCTGAGTGGCAGCAAGCGGTCCTTCCCTTCAGGAGGGCACTGGGCTTCTCGTGCCGGCAGATGAGGGCCCGGCACCACTCACAGTGTTTTCGGACCTGGCAGCAGCTACAAAGACACAGAGAACAGGGTCTGGGCAGGAGCCTGGCAGGAGTGCCCGGCCGGTGCAGTGTTTGCCCGAGGGGTCTGCTGGGCAGCTCTGGGCTCTAAACTGGCCTTCTTGTGGGGACCTCCAGAGGGACAGATGTAGCAGTGGGCTGAGGGCTTTGCAGGGCAGTGGCCTTTGGGGCAGGTGCTGGCCCAAAACAAAAGCACCTGCTGGCCGCCCAAAAGTACCAGTTCCGTTTGCGCAGCTCTGCTCAGGGCTCACAGGGCAACCTGGCTCCCGCTTCCCCGGCTGTCAGAGGGGACTGGCCACCCACTCGGCTGCTTTCTCCATAGAACAGCAGTTGAGTAACTCCATAAATGTAGTAACAGCCTCACAACTGCTGTTAGGACTGGGACAAAGCAGCCACTTCCGGCTGGCGGGGCTGTGAGGGCTTGGAAGGGGAGTCATCCATCAGGTATTGCCAGCAGCAAAGCATGGAACGTGGATGGGCTGAATTGACCCGTGGAAAGAATGAGAGAATGAGTCACGGATATCCATGGCTTTGAATCCTTCTCTGAGGACTAATATTCTCTGGTTGTGGCAAACACAACCTCTCAGTGAACCTGCGTTACTTGGAGTCCTGAAGCATCAAGGATATGAATGCTCCTGCTTCCCTCTGTGGGCAGGAATGAACAGTTTGCAGAGTTAGCATGAAAAAAGAACCAGAGAACCCAAAAGAAGGGCAGAGAAGAAAGCACTGAATAAGATATTAATTACCTAGAGACACTGATGACTATTTCCCTTGGGAAACCACAGAGGACTTTGTTTCTACTCATTCTAACCTTGACATATATATAGTCTATGCAACCGCCAACTGAGGCTAGGAGGGGTCTCCAGCTTTCTGACATGAGTCCGAAAACAGAGGAGGAAACAAGTCTGTTGCTGTGCTTCCCTCCTGTTGTCTGGTGGCATTTCATGATCTCCACCCCAGCCCCTCTCTCCCGGCACTGCCGTGGGAAGGGTCCTGGGGCCCCTGGATCTTTGGGCAGCAGAGCTGAGAAGGGGCCTGAGACATTCCTGCCCAATCTGCTTCTGTCATGGATGGCGGTCTGTCTGGGCATGTGTCCCTCCTGAGTTGCAGAGTCCTGGATCTAGAGGCCTTGATTCCTGATCCACCAGAGACTGCTGTCTTGTGGTCAGTTAGCCAGGCAGGCTTACCCCAATCACTTCCCAGCCAGGAGTGTCCCAGGGCAGTGGGATCAAGGCCTTTAGATCCCTTTGGCTCGGGATGAGCTGGTCCCAACCAACTCTGCAACTTAAGAGAGCCCCATGCCCAGGCAACCAGCAGCCTGGTGGGGATGAGGGCTTAGTCTCTGGCTCAGGGATTCTGAATTAGGTCTCTGGTGAGGACAGGCTGGGGAAGGGTAAAGATGTGGCACTGGCTGCCTCCCTGGGAATGAGAGGCTGTCCAGGCATCCTGGATTGTTCCTGTCTCCAGAAAATCTGGCAAAATTAGCCTTTAAGTCCCCCTAGGGAGGCCCACATGGGTACCCAGTCTTGTTCCTAAGCTCTGGGATCTTCCCGGCCACAGAAACAGCACTCTGGAGCACACAAAGCTAGCCAGCTGTGAGAACTGAAGCCAGTGTCCATTAGGTTACTCCTGCTTCCCTGGGGAGGGGCCTCACGAGTGGCAGAGCCCGAGCTATGTCCCAATCTGAACCAGGGCTCCTTGTCCACTACCTGCAAATGTGTTTTCCCAAGACCCATGGGAGTAGAATGGATACTATTTGGGGAGGAAAGAAAGGCCAGCCCAGTTCAGACCTCCTCCCTCACCACTTAATGCTGGCTTGGCCCAGGAGAAGGATGTGAGCAGGCTGTGGTTACTGTCAACAACCAGAACCAGAGCATGTGCTTTAGATGCCCCCAACAGCAACAAACCAATAAACAAACAGGACAGGGACTCTTATTTATCTGTCCAAATCCTAGGCAACCTCAGAGAGCTGAAGTCTACCTTCCTGCATTAACACGCGGCTGCCTACTCCAGCCCCTGCCAGAATGGCCCATCCCCTTACTGTCTCCGCCCTGAGTTAATCCACACCCAGCTGACCAGCAGCCTTTAGCTGTTCTGTGAATTCCTTGTGCATATCTCTGATTAGGTATAAATTCTCTGAGGGCTTGCTCTGTGACTTAGATGTCTCCAGATATTTCCAGGTAATAAATCTGGCTGGATGCTAGGAACACAGCCCTGTGGTCTCTCCCTTTGCAGAGCAATCCAGTCAGGAAACATGGGCAAGCAAACAGGGCTTAAGAAACACCTGAGAAGGGTCTCCATTAGCCTAGGGCTCAGGAAGCTTTTGGAAGATGCAATGCAGAAACTGCATTTTGGAGGATGAGGAGGGCAGAGAGGTGGCGAAGGGAGAAAGGCTGTCGTAAGCCTTTTGTAATAGCAACAGTGGCCTTCAACATGGCTTTAGGATTTGCCAAGTGCCTTCTGCAGAGAGGAAGCTCTTCTGCTATTACCCAAAGCAGGCTGGGAGCCATTTCTAGTTCTCTCTGGAGCACCTGCATGTCCCCATCACAATTCTGAGGGCTCCAAACCCAACAGCGGAGAGAGAGAGGGCGCTTTTGGTTCTACGCTGGATTCCATAGTACACAGACCCACTGCTGGTGACGCTCCCAGGATGCGTGCCCTTTACCCAGCTTGTCTGCCACCAAAGTTCATCTTGGCTTTGCTGACACCAATCAGACATCACAGCAATGAACCGTGCTGGGGTGGCCCTGCTCTCTGGGCATGCTGCAGATGTCCCTGGGAGGGCAGGTGGGCCGGGGGCAGCAGATACTCACTGTATCAGCACACATGCGATGATGAGGACAGCCAGGGCAACGACAGAGACCACCACCAAGGCGGTGATGGCCTGCTTCTTCTGGCTGGCGGCCACGACGGCCAGGAGGTCTGCGTGCTCACAGCGTGCACCAACGTACCCAGAATGGCAACTGGGGAAGACAGGGACGTCAGCAGGCTCTCCAGGCAGAAGGTCTCATTCCCCCACACCCCAGGGAAGGCTGGGCGGAGGGACTGGAAGCCCTCGGAAAAGCCCAAAGGGGCCCCTCCAGCCTTGGCTACTGGAGGCAAAGATGTCAGCAAAATTGCTCCTACTTCCCGGCACAGGCTCCTTCTGCTTAAAGAACCAGGGGTAACTAATCGGCTTTATCATCTGAGGATGGAGGGTGCTGCTGAAGCACTTCATTATTATTGTCACTATGCCAAATCCTGCGGAACAAAGAAGGCAGCAAACGTGTTTGTGCCACGAAATTCATTCTGGCAGTTCATAAAAATCCAGGTTATTTTTAAACTGTATGTGTCTATTCAGAATTTCTGATGACGAGAGAAAGAAAACACTCTAAACCAGAGGGAGACACAGGCTGTGGTTTGCTTTTTTATTTTCTTCGTCAAGTTTAATTAGTTCTGCAAGCGTTTTCTGGGTGGCCCAGCATGCGAGGCATGTACTGAAGTAGGGGCCAGTGCCACTATCTGGTAACTGTAGGACCTGAGAAGCCACTAATCTCCCATGAACCCTGGTCCTCATTTCCAACGGCACCTGGCCTCCCTCCACGAGAGGATTAGTTAAGGGCATGACAGAGGTCATGCTCATGAGCATGTGTGTAGGCTGTGAAGGGCAGAACCGACACAAGGTGGTATTATTACTGGTATTGTTACTATTCAGAGACTCTTAGGTATCCATCATTTCAGTAACAGCCTCCTCCTAGGTGCTGAAGGCTGCTGCTACTGCTTCCGTCCAGCTCTCAGCTATGCCAAATTCCCCCCACTCCATTCTGGTGGGGGTGGGGTGGGGGGGCACAAGTGGCTCTCCCGTGATGATTCCTCAGGACATGTTCCAGCCATAAGGACGTGATAGTCATTTTCTGATGCAGCCTTATTTTTCCCTCCAAGCATATGATTCTTCCCAATAGAAGCCACTTAGCTTACACACAGGTCCCTTTGTCTGGGGTGACTTTCTTATTGTAACGAAAATGTTTGATCACCACCGCCTCTCAGGTGGGGAGCTTCCTTCCCACAGGGGACTTCCCCAAGGAGCAGCCTTGCACCAAACATCACACACTGGATTTAAGTTTTGTTTCTCCCCCCGGACACAGTGATGATAGCTAAAGTTTTGTTTTATTTTAAGAGTCTAACTTTTGATGAAGTAGCCAGCTTGTCACCCTCACTTTTAGATTAAAAGATCTTTGAAGAACAAGGAAAAATGAAAGGGAATTAGGGGTCCTGGTGTGCCTGCTACTGTGCCAGGGCTCGTCACATTTGTGATTCCCCTAAACCTGTGCTCCTGGGCTGCCAGACCCCAGATGCCAGAAGGGTACTTGGAGCCACAGGACAAACATGGTATATTTTCCTGGAGCATAGGTTATGCTTAATGTTAACAAAAATCTAATCATTTTAATGTTAAAAGAACAGGTATTGTATGGGCTTAAGATTTATGACAAATAAGAGATGCTGCAAAAATTGCTGCTTAAAGCTACAACCTGGGGTACCAGAGCACACAAGCTTCTGTCTGTCAAGCAGCCTATTGGAAAAGTCTTTCACTGGCTCTCTTTATCCCAAAGCCCAGTTGTTATGTACCTTATGTAAAGGTATTTTTTAGTTGGAATTCAGGCACTTGCTTTTCTGTAAAGGGTTATTTTACATTTCACATATGTTTTCTGATTTAATCCTTGCACAGAAAGTCAAGCCATTTGCCTGTGCCCACCCTGCTGGGAAGAGAGAAATTCATACTCAGGTCTTCTGACCCTAGAGTCCGAGTTCTCGCTTGTTCACCAGGGCTGCTTTCCCTGCATACTGAACAGGGATTGGGGTAAGAATGCCACAGATTAAGCTCTTGATCAAATCTGGCTTTGGTTTAGTCTCCAATCTTGAAAGGGTAAAAGAGATTTGAGGTTTTAGGTTCAACAAGGGTGCAAAGGGTTTCCAGTCTTTGTAAGTAAGGAAGCCGAGGAGGGCCAACTAAGATGGGAAATGCCAACTAGGATGGGAAACGCCAACTAGGATGGGAAACGCCAACTAGGATGGGAAATGCCAACTAGGATGGGAAATGCCATATAGGGTTCTCTACAGACCCAAGGAGAAAAGGGCAGGTCCCGGATGGGGGAGGAATAAAGCAAAAGAGGGGGGCTCTCTGGCAAGGAGAGTTTTCTTGAAAAACGATCTGGATCACAGAACTTTGAATAACACTGACCCTCACAGTCTCGGGCTAGGAGGGAAAGGCTGAGGGCTAGGGACAGGGGCAGGTTTTGTTTTTTGTTTTTGTTTGCTTTTAATAACAAAATTATGTGAAGGTAAAAGTTAAGAAACAGCTCACTCTGTAGGTCGTGCAGAAAACAAAGGCACTGGCCCTTTCCCACCATGGGAAGCTACAGTGGACTGGACTAGAGGCTGAGAGGTGATAAGCAGCAGGCTTAGGTGATGCATAAATCTAAGCTGTCAGTGTCTAAAGAAAACCCTGCAAAGGGTCCCTCGTCCAGCCCACCCTGGAGTTTTCACCCTGTACCCAGATGGCTCCCACCTGGGTTGTGGGCTTCCTCTGTTTGGTATCTGATACCCCTGCTCTGCAGGGCCCTAATCTATCCCCCTCCACTTTATCTTCCGTCACCTAGGTTCCAGCCAACCCAGGATCCCCCCCCCCCACACACCCCCCCTTAATAGCCTAGTGTCAAATAAACCAGTGCCCGGCCCACAGGCACTCGGGACACACCTGGCTGGTGAATGAATGACTACCCACCACTTGCCCATCTCAACTCCTGCTGTCTTCTCTGCCTGGAATATTATTCCTCACTCTCCTCCTCAGACTCCATCTCAAAAAGACATAATTTACAGACTCATTCATTTGCCCAGTCACCCATCCATTTTCCATAGCTCTTGCCAAGGATCTATCCTCTCCTCCTCCTCTGGAAGCCCTCAGGACTACGCCCACCTCTCTGACTGCTCTTTCTGCCAGCCTCACTTTAGGCCAGCCTCCAGGTTCCTGTGAAACAAAAACTCTACAAAATCTCTGGTGAACCACTGAACAGACGGGAGCTGGGGAGCCTGGGCCTTGGGGCCTAGATTTCCAACCAGGAGGTATAGCCAAGCCAATGGGCCTTCTCTGTAGATAGGCGTTAGTGCCGTTTCCTCCGAGGAAGGGTAGTGTAATGAGGATTTGCACAGCCATTTGTGAAAGGTCCAGGCTATAAAAGGATGAGCACCCCAAGAGGTAATTTCACACAGCTTGAAATGTTCCTACTCTAACCTGCAGGCCCTGGGAGAGAAGGATTCTAACACCTCCTCAACCGCTTGGTCCTTAAAACCTTTTGAACTAACAAATTAATGCTGGGGACTCCAAAAAATCCCATTAAAATAAAAGAGTGGCAGCCAAGTGCTAAGTACAACACATTCCCTTTATTGCAGGCACTGTGCTAAACTCCTACATGAATTAATCTCTTTAATCCCAACAATCACAACCACATGTGAGGTCAGAGCTGCTATTTACCTTGTTTTACAGATGAGGAAACAGGGTTTCCAGAGTTTAAAACCAACAATCTCAACCATGAAGGCTACCTTTCTAGGGTAATGCAAATTGGTTTGAAAGATACTCTGGAATAGTGATTTAATGATAAACACACAAACTTCTTAGCAAAAAAGAAAGATGGGTTGCTGACTGTCCCATAAAGGGGTCTCCTTTATGCTGTGGGTATGGCCAGTTACAAAGATGCCCCCAAACAGTACCGTCTTAACTCACTAAGAAAGATAACCCCCTGGGCTGAGTCACATTTTGCCAACTTTCCATGTTCTTCTACCAGAGTAACATTCCCCATTTATGTGTGCTGGGCACTTCACAACCAGCCCCGCCTCAAAACTGCCCCTGGCAGAGGTCCTAGCCCATTAGGAAAGTCTTCATGCCAACAAGAATGCCTCTGTCACCTTAGTGTCACAGCTGCAAATACTCAAATCTCAGTCTCACTGAGTTAGGGAGCCCAACGTGCTTCTGAAAGAAGACTTCTCCAGTGAGGCACAGGAGGCACCTGGGTTGCTGCCCAATGGGTGAGACTCCAGGTCACGGCCTCGGTGAGCTCTGAGAATAGCAAATCTTAGCCCCAAGCAGCCAGCTGTAGCTGGGACGCAGACTAGCCTGTGGTCCAGATGCTTGGTCTTCCCCCAGGATCTCCCAGATCAAAATCTCTCTGAAAACGGGGCCTGGGTGTTTTAAAGAAAAGGCCAAAGGTAATTCTGATGAAGCCAGAGTTGAGAGCCACCAGGAAGGTTTTACCAGTGACATTGACTCTGGCTGCTCACTGGAATTGCCTGGGGAGCTTGAAAAAATCCTGATGTCCAGGCCACACCCTAGACCAACTAAATCAGAATCTCTGGGGGTAAGGCCTGGGCATTAGTATTTTTAAAGCTCCCAGATGATCCCACTGGGCGGCCAAAGTTGAGACTTTCTGGCCTTGGGGAGGGGAGGTCCTTTCCCCTCCCCCCAATCATTTGTAATAATGGGGATGCTCCCCAGCTGCTTTTTATGAGGGGAGAGAAAAGAAAGGATTTGGTGACATATTTTCTTTAACTTCCCAAGCTTCTGATATTAGACTTAATTATGCTGATTATTTTAGGTACAAGTCATACAAGGAGGGGAAGAGTCACCTCACCTGGTCGCAAATGACTCACCCTTGACTCAGCTGCTGTCCTCTCTACCTCAGGTAGGCACTGGGTCCCACCTGGCTGCACATTAGAGTCACCTGGGAAGCTCTGGAAAATACCAGGGCTAAGGTCACCCCCGCTCTCAGAAATGCTCATCCAATTGGTCTGGGCACCCAGGTGATTCTAATGTAGGGCCAGGCCTGAGAACCACTGAGGTAGAACTAGCATTTGAGTATACAGAACCAAGCACCAACAGTTCAAAATATGCCACCTCCTCTTCTCCTTTGTCCCTCCCTCCCTTTCTCTCTGGGCATTTCCCCAGGGTGGTGGCTGTAAAATGGGTCCCCTCATATCAGGTGCAGGAGAAACGAGAGACACTGCATTCCTCTTTAAGGAAGGAATCTGAACAAAATACGAGTTATTTGATCGCAAAGGAGAATGGGAAATGAGTAGGGCCGAACATTTTCTTATATCATTTGACCATTTAATTTCATCTGTCTCGAGTGGGTTTTGTGACACAGTGACTGCCATTTGCCAAACACAAGGTTCTAGAATGCTGTTTTGTCTTCATAATGCTGAAAATGAGATTCTGGAATCACATTCAGGCTGTTTTCCCAAAATAAAAACCAAAAAGAAAGAAAGGAAAGAGCGTAGTGCAGGAGAGTAAGGAGATCGCCTGAGCTGTAAAAGGAGCCATCGTGGCTGGAGACAGGCACTGTGCTCCAGCCAGGGGTCCCCGAGGCCTTCATTTCTGTTACTGAATAGGTCTGCAGGTTGCTTTCGTGCTTTTCTTAGGAGCAAACTTTGTGGCTGTAGGCCTCTCCGTTTTAACAAGAAGAATTAAATTATCTATGAAATGCCTTTCTTTCTCCTCTGCCCACGCCTTCAAGATCTTCAGTTTCCCGCCCTAAGCCCCTATTGCACCTGGTTCACGGTGCCCTTTTAAAGTTTTAAAGAAATACGATAATGCATGTAGAGCTGTGCTCTTAAAATTTTTTTCCTTAAGGAAAATTTTCCCCAACTAGAAAAGGAATGTTTCTAAGCAAATTGGAAAGTACATAAATTATAAAAGAGCAGAAAGAAAAAGAAAGAATAGAAAGCTCACATCATTGCAAATCCTCCTACCCCCCATGGCAGTCCAATTTCCTTCCGGACTATTTCTATGTAGTTTTTTACATAGTTAAGATACACATATACATTTTTTTACAATTTTGTATCAATGTCTTATTTAATACCTCGTCACCATTTTACTATGTCATTAGAAAACTCTGCAAAAGTCATTTAAAATGGTTGTACAGTAATTTATGTACACAGTTTGCTTCACTGAACCCTTACCATTTAGGCTGTATTCAATTTCGTAAATAATGCCAGGTGATTATCTTTGTGTACACATCTTTGCATTCGAGATTATTTCCTCAGGACAGAGTCCCAAAAGTGGGCATAACATGGCACAGACTTAGAGCCAAATTGTCATGGGTTCAAATCCCATTCCCCACTTACTGCCTGTGTGACCCTGAGCAAGTTACTTAACCTCTCTGTGCCATTGATTCTGCATCTTTAAAACATGATAGTAATGAAACTGACCCTACAGAGTTCTGACAAGCATTAAATGAGTTAACATCTTGTGAAGTGCAATAAACAGTGACTGACACAAAGGAAGGGCTGTATAAGTGCTAAAAACGTAAATAGAAGGATGGGAGCATTATTGAGGCTCTTGAGAGATGTTGTGTCTTCATAAACAATGATGTACTCTCTGGCAGGAGGCTAGTGCTCTGATTTTTAGCCAAGTCTTTTGGCAGAGATCCCAAGATAAAGTCTTTAATATGGGGGCCAAGGACCAAGTTGACTAAGCGCCAAGGACCATGGTTTTAGAAATACGTTTATACTAACTTGCCTTTAACGTGGAGAAATGCCACAGGGCTGGGGTGGGAGTGGGGACACTGAGCCCAAGGATGCCTGTACTGGGCTTACCCATTGTTGGCCTCTTAAGAACTAGAGTCCCAAGTCCTATAACTCCTCTGCTCCAGGGGCTGCGGAGGAGTGGGCTGGAAGGAGGAAGGACTTCCTTTGCAGCTCTGATCCAAGGGCCTCACGGGACAGCCCCGGGGTCCGTGGTCTACCAGACTTTCACTGCTCCTTTCAGCAGGACCTCACTATATCCTTCAGCTATGGTGGTGCTGGTGCTGATGGAAGATGCTCTTATGTACTGCTAGTATCTGGGCTTGAATGTTCTCTAGTGTTAATAGAACTTTCTGTGATGATAGAAATATTCTATATCTGTGCTAATACAGTGGCCAGTAGCCACTTAGAGGTATCGAAATATGGCTAGTACGACTAGAAACTAAATTTTAATTAAATGAATTAAGTAGCCCTGTGTGTCCAGTGGCTCTCGTCTTGAACAGCAACAGCTCTACATGCATTATGGTCACTGGATTCTCATTATAATCCTATGATGTACTAATATCCCCATTTTATACACAAAGAAACTGAGGCTTACTGGGGCTAAATCACTTGTATGAGAGACTCAGGTCTGTCTGACCTCCCAATCCATGCGTTTAACTCTGCGTTGTCCTGCCTGATATGTGACCCTCAGGATCGGCTTCCGGTGGGGGTAGAGAGAGAATGAGGACATGCACTGTCTCCAGACACGTGGATGGAGTGATGTCCTAACTTCTTAACCCCTGCACCCACCACCTGCTGGTTGTTGAGATGACTGGAGATCTACATAAAGTGGCTCACGCGCCAACAAGGAAACCACACCCAATCCTGATCTCTTGGGAGGTGTGTTCTTGGTGACACGGGCAGCCTGCTCGTGCACTAATGGTGGTCCCTTCTCTCTGGGTGTTTGACTCTGTTCAGGTCCCACCGGAATGTGTGTGGCCAGGGCCATGTGGAATGTTTTCCTTGGCTGACAGCCATTTGTTTTCACTCTTTGCTGTGGGAAAGTTAAGTCAGAGAGTTCAGTCACGAAGGAGCATTTTGCACAGGTGAGAAACTTCAAACTAGTTGCCACTGGCTGCTGACACTGGAACCCTTAAAACTTGTCACCTGGGTGGCTTCCTTCAATTGTTTTCCTTTGTTTGAAGGCTTCTGCAGGCAGCAGACCAACAGTTTGTGGAATCTCCCTCAGGGAAAAAATGGTGTGTGAGTCCCAACCTTGCATTTCTATGGCTTTACTGTCTTTGGAAATTCTTTTCCCATTTGTTTCCTGATGTAGTTGGGTACTAGCAGGGATTTATTAAAGGGAGTCATAAAAATCAGTCTAGGGTTTATCTGAAGCATACATATTTAAGGATAGTTTCCACTATCTTTGGCTATCTCTGACTAGTTAACTTTTTTCTTGACTTCATATTTTAGTGTGAGATGTCATTTTAGGTTCTCTGGAAACCTCAAGACTATTGTTCTTATGGAAAATAAAGCATAAGAATGACAGTATTTTAGAAAGAGCTCCCTCTTTTGAGACTATAATCTTGGGTCACTGTGGGTTTTCCATATAAGGGCATGACAGACACGGTCTTACCTCAACGTGTGTCAGTTTTATTGGCCACAATGTGTGTGTCAGCTCCCCAAAGCTGGGCGGTTCTTAAGAGCGGGGACAGAATGTTCTACTTTCTCTGCACGGACTCAGAGTTTCTGGTCTAGTGGGAATTAGTTAATTAGAACATTCTAGGTACTGTAAATACAAAAGGTATAAGGCATGGGGTCCTGTCCTCACTGCACTTACCAGCTCATGCCACAGCAGAGGTGAGCAAAGTGGGCTAGTGTGAGCAGAACAGAGGCGGCAGGAGGATGATGGGGCACTGACATTCGCTTCAGTGTTGGGGAGCAGTAGGGAGAGGTGGAAACTAGAAAACTGCAGAGGGCATGCCCTGTTCAAGAGAAGTTGGGCATCTGCATGGAGATGAGAAACCTGACTTGCAAAATGCTTACAACTAACTAAAACCACCAAACAATGTGGATCATCATCTACCACCACATAAAACATGTCTGTGGGCTGAATACCGCCCCTGGGCCGCCAAGATCTGGTGGGGAAACTGAGGTAAAGACGTGGTAATTGCTTGCATGGCCTTGCATCTGCACAGACAGTCCGATTTCCAAACTGCCAGGGGGTCTAGGCTGTTTCCCACAGGAAGGACTTGTTAAGAGTCTGTGGTCAGGGCAATGAGCTTGGGAATGACTCTGACCTTTCTCTGGTGGAAGGTTTACCTGCAGGGAGAAGATGCCAATACTTTCCTGGAAACAAAAGAGCTTAGTGATTTGAGGTGAACTTTCCCAGGCTGAGGCAGAGTGCCCTCCGGGGCAGTAACTGAGAGCATGGGTTTTGGGGTTGGAATTGATTTCAGATTGAAGCCCAGCTCTGCATTTACTAGCTCTGAGACTCTGGGCAAGTCGTTTAACTTCTCTGAGCCTCAGTTTTCTCTTTATACAATAAGGGCAAGAAACCCTACTTGAGAGGGGAGCTGTGAGGTCTCCATGAGCCACTGTATGTGGAGTGCTGGGAGCAGTGCCTGGCACACAGCTACAACTTTTATGGAGAGCTCACTTTTATTATTATTAGTAACATTTACGTAAATGAGGGGAGAGATAGCCAGTCATCCTGATTATCAAAACACAATGATGTGTAAATGTGATGGGCAATTATTTCCCTGATTATTCAAGTGCAAGGGTTGGGATCCAGACTTGGGAGAACAGGAGAGTAGCCCCACCTGCTGCTTTCAGAAGGCTTCCACCAGCTGATGGGGGTCTCGGCCACAGATAAGGTTACTGCTTTGGGTCATCTGCTGACCTAGGCTCGAGGCTGCCAGCTCTCACAAAGTTTACACCAACCCCTGGTCTAGTGGGGAAAGCACTCGAGGAGGAAAAACTGAGCTTCTGACACACTTTTGATCAGAACTGGGCAAAGACTTGCCCTCTCTCTCCAAAGAGATCCTCCCAACACACAGCCAGGGGCAGCCTGAGGTCCAGCACCGGGCGCTGCTGGAGGGGAGAAAGCCTTCTGCCCGCTGCCCTGGGAGGGTTCAGAGATCAGGGAGTGAGAGGGAACATTTCCTTCAGGGCTGGTGTTTTTCCACACTGACCTCGCTACTAATAAAAGCAATCCCATCATCCCCCAGGGGTCCCTAAGTGTATTTTAATAAGAATGATAATCATGAATAACGACAGTGACTATTATCCTCATTGTGCTTTGTATTTAGGGATGGGGAGGGCTCTTAGCTCTGCAGACATGACTTGGGAGCCTCACACAGTTCTCCTCCCAGAAGGAAGGTGGCCAGTGTGCCTCTCCAGGTGAGGCTCAGAGGCGCCTGCCCAGGGTCACGCAGCTGCACCTCAGGAAGAGGAAAGCCCTACCCACCACTCTTACTGTGACAGGCTCTCCTGGTCCCCAATCTCTCTTGGGCTAATGGCTATGATGCCCTTAAGCATCCTGGTTAAGAACCCAGCTTCAGGAACCAGACAGTCTGGGTTTGAATGTAAGCTCTGCTATGACCTGGGCACAACCTCTCTGTACCTATCTCATGGGGTCATTATGAGGATTACATGAGTTAACACACAGGTTGTGCTTGGAACAGTGCCTAGCATGAAACAAACACAAAAAATGCTAGCTTTTATTAACATTTGGTAGTATTTACTAGTACTATTAGGTTGGACCATATGAAAATGCTGACTTGCAACCATTTTTGACCTATAAAAACCGCAACTTCATATAGATGTGTGGTTCTTAATGGGGGCAGAGGGTGATTTTGCCCCCCACAGGGGACAGTCAGCAATGTCTAGAGACATTTTTGATTGTCACAACTGTGGGGTGGTGGTGCTACTGGCACCTAGTGGGTAGAGGCCAGGGATGCTGCTAACATCCTTCAGTGCATGGGATGGTCCCCACAACAAAGGATTATCCAGCCCCCAATGTCCATAGTGCAAGGTTGAGTACAGAGCCACCTAATAGTATTCCACTACGGACACATTAATTTTCTTAAAACATCCCTTTCCAAAGCCCACATGGCTCTCACTGCCTAGAGAATGAAGGCTCTCTTCCAACAGGCTCTGGTCTCCAATTGTCTCCAATCTTGTCTCCTCCCTGCTGTAGCCGCACTGACCTGTATGAGCAGGCCCCCCACACCCCAGGCCTGGAGTAACCTCTCTGCTCTCCCAACTAGCCAAACCCTACCACCTGCACCAGGAAGCTTTCTTCAAGTGCCTTCCTTCCTCTGTCTGGCTGACCATGGCATCCACTGGTGGCTCTTAACTAATGTGACTCCTGGGTCCCATTCCTGGAGATGCTGATTCAGTGGGTTGGGATGGGGCTCAGCTGTACTTTAAGCAGCAGCCCCAGGGGGCTCACGCTGGGCCTGGTGTGGAAACCACCATGCTCCGGCATGCATCTTCATTTCCAAGTTGTTCTTTGTTCTGTTACCACTTATGTAAACTAACCCTTTGCATGCACTTCCCACTTATTAGCTGTAGTGTAAAGATGCTGGAGGGCAGAGACCTCATCTTAGAGACTCTGGCTACTCAAAGGGCTCCAACCCAGTGCCTTGCCTTCCAGGAATTGTAAGTAGTAAATTAAACTCGAATCCAGGAATTTTCAGACTTTGCTGAACCCAGGAGACACCTGAGGTGCTTGTTAAAAATGCAGATCCCCAGGCTCCAACACCCAGGGGTTCTGTCTTAGTGGCTCTGGGCTGGGGCTCTGGAACCTGGATTTTTAACCAGCTGGGTTTGGAGGTGTTCCCCAGCCCACTGTTCTGATCCTCCAACATGTCCCGCTCCAGGGGTCTCAGGGGCCTCTGGCACGCCTTGTGGAGATAAATGCTCTTTTAATTGGTTGCCGGGCCATCCCCAACCCTAGAACCCCAGGACACCAGGTGATACTTACACACATGCTGGCTTGTCTTCCTGCACCAAAAACCTGCAGGTTCCATGGAAGCAGAACTGACTGTGGGAATCCGGGCAGTCATTAAAATGGGACACCACAGCCGCGGCCACGGGCGGCTCTGCTTGGGAGAGAAAAGACATTTGGCTCAGGTCCAAATTTGGCATAGCGAGACATACTCCCTGGCCCCCACCCCATCAGTCGAGGGGGGTTGGAGCCCTGATGGCTGGGATTTCTGGTCCCTACAGCCTTCCCCTCCTCAGCTTTCACTGACTTTCTAAGTCCAGGACCAGAGATTCCTGCATCTTGTGCTTTCCAGCAGGGCTATTTAAATTTATTTACCTTTGTAAAAACAAAACAACCTCTCCAAAAGGTTCAGTGTCATTCAGAGCAATTTTACTATTTAAAGCCTATTACCCAAGAGTGACCTAATTTTACTTCTGCAAAGTGACAGTCATCATGTTTTTAAGGTAGCCTTCATAGAAATGTTTTAAAGGCAAGAAACCAGAAGAAAGATACAAAAGAGTACTATACAGTCATGTGCTGCATAACAACGTTTCAGTCAACAACAAACAGCATATATGACAGTGGTCTTATAAGATTAGTACCACCTAGCCTAGGTGTGTAGTGGGTTTTACCAGCTAGGTTTGTAGGTTTGTGTAAGTACTGTAGCGGAGGAAGAAATTCTCCTCTATGCTTCTAGGTTCTTCTGGCTGATCTAAGAATTAAATTGACATGAGATAGATTAACAGGAGAAAAACAAACAAAAGTTTAGTAACATGTATACATGGGAGAAACCCAGGAAAACAGAGTAACTTGCCAAAATGGCGGGGAAGCCCTCGCCTTAAATACCATCCTCAGCTAAAGACAAAAGAAGAATTTGGGGATGGGGAGAGTCAGGGACTTCAAAAGGAAGGAAGGTAAAGGTAATTCACAGGTGGGTGAAAAGGAGTAAACATTTGGAAAACAAGTGTTTGGCCACACAGAAACAGAAGAACACAGACGGAAGCCCAACAAACAGGCTTTTCTAGGTTCTTCCACCTAGTTCATGTTATGCTACGGTGATAGCTTGCTTCCTGAGACAGCTTTTTTAATCTGAATTCTTTTAGGCAGTTAAAGAGAAGGTAACAAGAAAAGCTTTCTGATTCTTTTGTTTCTTAAAAATAATCAGCCTAAAATAATCCTCATGTTAAAGAGACACATTTTCAGGTGGCAAATTTTGTTCCCCTTCAGTACACTCTATGATGTACACACAACAGTGAAGTTGTCCAAAGACACATTTCTCGGAATGTATCCATCACAAGTGATGCATGGCAGTATAACCATTAAACTTATGCTGAGGAAGACCAGTTAATGATGCAAAAATATATTTATGACATATTACTATTCTAAGTGAAATAGGCGCGTTTCCAATATGGTCTATATAGTATGATTCTACTTAGAAATGTAGATATGAAGAAGTCTGGGAAGGACACACATGAAAATGGTAGCAGGGCTTGTCTGGGGTGGTGGGATGAGGAGTGATCACGCCATGAAGACGACTTCAGGCACTGAAGTCCCTCTGGGAGCAGCACAGGCAGTACTGGGACAGCTGTGACCGGGAGAGGAAGGCAGCAGAGTCGGGGGCAGAGACGGGTCTTACTCACAGGCTGGCACCCTTAACTCTGAAGAGCTCGGGTGTCACCAAACCTCTCAGGGTTTTCCTTCCTTGGCTTTCAGATGGGAATAAAAATAGCCAGCCAGGAGCACTGTAGGGAACAACATGTGAACAGACCTGCTGATGAGCACAAAAGGCATCACCAGGATTTATTTTTTTAGATTCCAATAGCCTTGTCTTGTCCAAATAACACTCAAGACACAGTAGGTACCTATTTCAAGATGGCATGACACATGTAGTTTCCATTGCTGCTTTCAAAAGGTCCTCTTATGTTTGTGTTTTGGGTGTTTGGGCAGTGGGTCTCTCCCACTTGTTTTTGGGAAAAAATATGTCCTTGGAGCTCTTGCTCTTTGAGAAAAAGCAGACCATTTCATATTATGGGGTTTTAGACCACCACTAAATATTAAACTCACATTGCTGTCTCTCTATTCAGGAATTGCTTCTAGAAGCGTCCTAATTTTGGAAATCTCATAATTCCAGTGGAAAAAGCAAAGGCTAAAAATACAACAGAATCCTTGCTGTGGAAGGTGAGAGAGCACTTGGTGGTTATGAACACGGGCTCTGGAGGCAGAGACTTGGGTTTGAATCCTGCCTCTGCCACATGGATGAAGTCCTTGAGCTTTCTTAGCCTTCTTCCACCTCTATAAGATGGGGAGTCCACTCGCTTCACGGGTGGCTCTGAGGCCAAATGAGGCAAAGCTTGTTAAGTGCTGTAGTCAACTCAACACTGACAAACCCAAGATGCTAACGAATCCCAACATGTGATAGGACCACTATAGTACATAATCTCCTCCTCCCTCCATATATTCAGGGTAGTATATGGACTAAAAGTCCAGGTGCCCCCTACAGCCCCTAATTATAACTACTTTCACAAGCGAGGATAAGCAGAGAAGCCCAAAGCCAGGTGCAGATGTCGACCCAGGGCTGCCAGCCAGCCTTGCTCCTGGCTGCAGCATGGGCCTGTCCAGCAGCAGCCTCCAGGACGTGGGGTCCAACTGCTTTGGCTGACGGCAGTCACCTGTGAGTCCCAGGCCTGGGTGGTTGATGAACAGCTCGGTCACTCACTGACAGTGGACACTGGTGTGTTAAGTCGAGACTGGAAGGGTCTGCTGCAGTTCACATAACTGGCTTCTCTGCGCTCACTCAAGTTGTCAAGCGGTAAATATGGAGAGATGAAGGGGCTGCAGACTAGTGGATCTAATTTGATTTAGACATTGAAAAAGGCTTTTGATAAGCTCCACAAAAGGCCATTTAGACAACCACCTCCAAGCGGCTAGAGGGAGTCCCTTGTCAGGGTGAGAGCCCGGCTCCTCAAAGTGTGGTCTTTGGACCAGCAGCTTCACAGCCCCAGGAGCTTGCTGGAAAGCCGAGCTCATGGGCCCCACCCTAAACGTACCGAATTAGGATCTTTGGGGTGGGGCTCAGGAATCTGTGTGACAAGCTCTCTAGGTGATTTTTTAAAAGTCAGGTTTATTGAGGGAGAATTGACGTACAGTACCGTTTGCCCTGCAGGGGATTCTGATGCACACTGAGGTTTGAGACACAGAAAACAAAGGACAGAGACAAAAGGCCTCTCAGAAACATGGAATGACAGGGCCCTGAGGGGATCTTTTTGGAGTTGATCATCTTCCAGCCTTCCAGCTCCTGTGTGATACTAAAGCCTTAAATCCACTGAGGTTCTTTGTGGTAAAGTGTCTGGTCAACAGAAAAACACCTAGAGAAAAACTCCGGATCTGTCTTGTGGGAAGAACACTACTCTCCAAAACTGAGGGGTGAGGAGCAGACTTGATGCCATGGTCTCATGTAACCTGTATTTATGGATATTTTGCCACTTCTGATAAATGACTTGAGGAGGCTTTATAAAAATAGGTACCATAAAAAGGGGATGCAAATGAGAAAAGTGTGCGTGTGTGTGCCTGCATATGTGTGTGTGTGTGTGTGTGTGAGAGAGAGAGAGAGAGAGAGGAGGGGGAGAGAGAGAAAGGAGGGGGCGGGAGAGAAAGGAGACATACATACACACAGACAGGAAGGGAAAGAGGGAAGGAAGGAGAGAGGGAGACAGAGAGACAGAGACGCGCACAAAGGGAGAGACAGAGATAGAGAGGTGGAGAGATATAGGCAGAGAAGGGAAGGGAGGGGAGAGAGGGAGGATGGGGGGAGAGAGAGGAAGAAACAGAGACAGAGACAGGCAGTGAGAAAGGGAAGGAGATCAGGACAAAGGAAAACAAGGGTAGAGGTCGAAACGGCAAATAAGTCAGGTATCAGGTTAACATACCAAGACACACATCGGAAAGCCAGGTGCACGTGCTGAAGCTGAGCGGCAGGCAAATCTAGCTCTGTGCCTCCTAGCAGTCCAAGCAAAGATGCACACAGTTCATTAGACAGAAATGCACCCAGTCTGCATGTGTGCGAGTCTGTGGTCAGAGAGCAACTTCTCTTCTCCTGTGGTGCTTTCAAAGGGCACTTCAGGTGTTATGGTGGACAACATCCTCCGATCTCTCGAAGACAAGGCAGAAGCGTCACCCATGTAAACTGTCTCTGTCCTTCACTTCCCACAGCTCAATAAGAAGCCAAAGAGCCCAGGCGATGAGGAAACACCATGCTGCAGTCACATGGCAGCAGCTAAGGAGTGCTGGTTTTGCTCTCTGCAGTCAGAGACCAGCGCGAGAATGGCAAGTCTGATGCTGAGCACATGGGCTCCTAGCCCTCCACAATCCCACCTGTGTCACTCCACCCGAGGCACTGAGGGGACTTTGGGAGCTGTGTTAGTCAACTGTCATGATCACTAGAAGATGGGTTATTTTTTTTATTTTATTTTGTTTGTGAGGAAGATCAGCCCTGAGCTAACATCCGATGCCAATCCTCCTCTTTTTTGCTGAGGAAGATTGGCCCTGGGCTAACACCCATGCCTATCTTCCTCTACTTTATATGGGACGCCACCACAGCATGGCTTGACAGGCGGTGCATCGGTGCACAGCCTGGATCTGAACCTGCGAATCCTGGGCGGCCGAAGCAGAGCGCATGCACTTAACCACTGTGCCACCGGGCTGGCCCCAAGACGGATTATTTTTAAAATCTTTTTCCTGGGCCGGCCCCGTGGCTTAGTGGTTAAGTGTGCGTGCTCCGCTGCTGGCAGCCTGGGTTCGGATCCCTGGCGCGCACCGACGCACCGCCACTCCGGCCATGCTGAGGCCGCGTCCCACATACAGCAACTAGAAGGATGTGCAGCTATGACACACAACTATCTACTGGGGCTTTGGGGGAAAAATAAACAAATAAATAAAATTATATTAAAAAAAAAAAACCTTTTCCTAACTACAAAAGATGATACAGCACTGTAGAAACCTTTTGAAAATGCCAATGTAGAGTAAAAAACATCTTAGAGAATAAAACCCATCTTTAATCCACCACTTAGAACTACGTAAGTACGCACTGTGCGCACACACACACGCTCACGTAAGCCTACT